TTTGATAGACCGTGCAAGCAAGTGTGCTTTTCTTGGCTTTAGATTGCCAAGATGTACCTCGGGCTTCTTCTTCATTCATTTCAATGCACTAAATATATTCGTCATTGATCTTCTGATTCCCAACCAGTCTTTGATCCATCCCCAAATGCTTGAAGTCACAATACACTGAAAAAGAAGGTGCTGGTCAGTTAAGGGCTGTGAACCACAAGAAAATGCATGTTCTGTCAATGTTTAAATATATTAACTTATCCTTCGTTAAGAGTTTCGATTGTGCAGCCAACCACAGGATGAAAGAGTGTTTTGGAGTGATATAAGGTCTCCAAATCTCTCCCATCCAAGTCTTTTTGTTCCCCTTCGGCCTAAAAAACTAATAAGCTTTGAAAGTAAAAAAATGGCCAGAAGCTGTCCAGTTGGACAGCCTACTAATAGCAGCACAATCATTTAGTTCTGGCTCTCTAAGCTGATTACGAACTTCCAACAGTTTCTTGATCAAAGGAGAGTGATCTTTCCTTGCCACACACTCCCAAATACTAGTCCCCTCAACTGGCCACACTTTGTACTTCTCATTCAAACGTCGTCCCGAAGCCATTATTCGTCCTACAAAGTAATAGGCCGGATAAATTTTAAAAGCTACACATAATAAATCAAGCTAATTAATTGAGTAATCACCAACATTTTACCTTTGATTACTACTTGATTACTCGAAAATAAAAAGTTGCAATTATTCACTCACTTTTATACAACATTACCTATCCATCATCTATCTCAATTCCATTTGTTCACCTGGGCAAAAATATTATGTGATGGATTGAAACACTATATGACAATTAACGGTGTTAATTTTGAGAGTTAATTAAATGATCAATCACCCATATTTACCTTTAATAATTATTAGGGAAAATTGCAGTCGAGGTACCAAACCTTTCGTTTATTAGCAGATTTTGTCCAAACCTTTCATTTGTGCCGCTGGAGGTATCAAACCTTTCAAAAATCCGCACCCGAAATCCAAATAGATGGAAACCGTCCATTTGACCGTTAGTTGACCAAGAAAAGCAAATTTTGACCAAATTGGAATGAGTAAAATGGTAACTTGTTAATTACAATATTAAATAAATTGAACAAAAAAATCAAAAAATTAAGAAAAGAAATTAAAAAAGGGTTGTCTTCTTCAACCTTCCCACCCCACCCCACCCCCACCCCACCCCACCCCACCATATTTTCGAATTCGTAAGCAGCCAATCAAGGGTTTTGCTTGGTTTGTCAAAACCTAGCATTTCTTGAAGATCAAAGAACTTGCGTGTAGTAACAATGGAAAGCCTCATTCTTCGATCCCTTGGACCTTGAGCTGTAATTATTTTGCTATGCCTATCCTTTTTAGCTGTTTGTTTCCTTGGCTATCCATTAAGCCTATCAAATTCTTGATAAGCAGTTAATTTGGTCTTGTTTAAAACAGGAAGTCGATAGTTGCAGGTACCATGGGAGCATTGGCCACGAAATGGTGCCCAGAAACCAGATTTTGGGGGTAGTGTAGAAAAAAATCAACGCTATTTAGACCAATAAAAGAAGAGGAACAGGAAGCCTGAAAAGATAGTGAAATCTGTGGAAAAAGGTTGGTAATTTTGTTGGAAGAAGCTGTAGACCCATGCAATTGGGGACAAAGATGGTGGGGTGGGTGGGGTGGGCAACCCTTTTTTAATTAATTTTCTTAATTTTTTTAAATTTTTCTTGATTTTTGGATTTTTTTTTCAATTTATTTAATATTGTAATAATCAAGTTACCATTTTATTCATTCCAATTTGATCAAAATAGGTCAAAATTTAATTTTCTTGGTCAACTAATGGTCAAATGTGGGGTTTCCATCCATTTGGACTTCAGGTGCAAATTTTTGAAAGGTTTGGCACCTCCAGTGGTACAAATGAGAAAGATTTGGGCAATGTCTGCAAATAAATGAAAGATTTGACACCTCGACTGCAATTTTCCCTAATTATTAATTGCTCACTCAAATATAAAAAAATTACTGGTTGTTTGCTCACCTTTATACATTGTCATCAATTCATCTTCCATCTCAATGTTTATACCGTTCGATTTGTAAGTTTTCATGATTTTTGGATTCATTTTTGCAAAGTACTTTTGTTCTCTCTACCCTCCTCATTTTTTCCTTTTATAAAGTTTTTTTTTTTATTTATTTATATTGCGCGATCTGTTTACATGATTTTCATAATATTTATTTTACGAAATTCATTAATTACTTTTGCTTGCTCTAGTTTGATCATATGATTTTTATTTTTCTCACTTTTAATATATTTTGTTTTCCTCAAATAATTTTATTATTTTATTCATTCATTTTCATTAATTATTTCTTTTAGGAATTGGTTTGATTTTCTTTTACAGATTCCTTCTTAATATTTTCTTCTATATTTATTTTTGAATTCGTTTCATTGTTTTTTATGATAAAATAAAGGGAAAATTGCAGTCGAGGTACCAAACCTTTCGTTTATTAGCAGACTTTGTCCAAACCTTTCATTTGTGCCACTAAAGGTACCAAACATTTCAAAAATTCGCACCCAAAGTTCAAATGGATGGAAACCGTCCATTTGACTATTAGTTGACCAATAAGATTAAACATTGACCAATTTTTGACCAATTGAAAAGGTAAAAAGGTAAAAGTTACTTAACCCTATAATAAAACAATTAAAATAAATAACTAAAACATAAAAAAATTAAAAAAAAATACTATTCATCTCCTTCTTCACCCACCCCACCCCTACCCCTACCCGCATGTCACCCTACGGCCACCCCATCCAAAACTAAAAATAGAAATCAAACAGCCGCCTTCTTCTTCAACCTCCCCATCCCATCGCACCTCACGCCACCCCACCCCACGCCACCATTAACCCAAACCCAAAACAGCCGCCTGAGCCACTACCCAAAACCTGGAATCATTCAAGCATAGTTCACTAGACATGGCATTTTGCTCAATGGTGAATTGTGTTCCCATTAGGAAGATAAATGTATTCATCAACATCGAAAAAGAAAGTCCAATTTGCAGAAAAACGATGGCGGTGGAGGTAGTCATTCACTATCAAGAACTGGTTGTAACTAACCCATCGTACTCGGCTTGAGCTCTTATACCCTGTAAAGTTACCCGACCAGCTCTTATCCACGGCTCCCGCGCCGTCCTCACCTCGGCCGACACTCCTTCGTTGTCGTGGAACACGAAATGCGACCTGGGCCCGATGAACTAGGCGTGATAGGCCATCCATTCCCTTACTCTAGCAGCATTCAAGTTCCCGGTTGATGGTGGGGTGGGGAGGTTGAAGAAGAAGGCGACTATTTAATTTCTGTTTTTGNNNTTTATGTTTTAGTTATTTATTTTAATTGTTTTATTATAAGGTTAAATAACTTTTACCTTTTTACCCTTTTCAATTGATCAAAAATTGGTCAATGTTTAATTTTATTGGTCAATTAACGGTTAAATGGACGGTTTCCATCCATTTGGATTTCGGGTGCGGATTTTTGAAAAGTTTGATACCTCCAGTAGCACAAATGAAAGGTTTGAGAAAAATCTGCTAATAAACGAAAGGTTTGGTACCTCGGCTACAATTTTCCCTAAAAAATTTTTTAATGTTATGCTTTATAGGATGGAGAATGAGAGACCAGATCCAGCGCCATCTCGAACGTAAAATCACGATTTTTATGAGTCACTTAATTTTATTTTCGTCTAACAAAAAATTGGAGTATTAGTTTGTGTATCACTAAATTAAGCAATAAATTAGAAATTCAGTATACATCATATTTCTCTATTACAGCTTGCACTCCAAGTATATTTTATTTTTGGATAACAATAATATGGAAAAGTTGAAAGATAAACGATATTTATCAATTGTAAAAGACGGTGAAAAATTGTATCTTGTCTGATATTGCAAGACCCTCTCATGAAGACATGAACAATATTTTTATGTGAATTTTGCAGAATAAAAATCATGAAAATCATATAAATAGACCAGATAATAAAAATTGAAAATAAATTTTTCGGAAGAAAATAAAATAAGGATAATAGAGTTAGGAAAAATAATTAGCAAAAATCAATCCAAAAATCATATAAATGAATCGAACAGTATAAAAATGAAATTGAGATGGATGAGGTAACATTGTGTAAAAATAAATGAGCAACCAATAAACTTTTTATTTTTGTGTGAGCATGTAGTAACCACAAGTAAATGTTGAGAATTAATCATGCAACTAATTCTCAAGTTTTAACAATATTTATTCCCACGTATAATTTTCATCCACTACGTGGAATTTTTTGTCAGCTGAATGAATAGAATTGAGATAGATGATGGGTGGATATATAACATTGTTTAAAGGTGAGTGAACAACCATTAACTTTTTATTTTTGAGTGAGCAAATTGTAAAATGTTGATGATTACTCGTTTAATCAACTCTGATAGATCATTATTATTATTATTATGTTTGTTAACTTCTTCATAAAATAAATATATATACTTTACATTTCGATATGTGTGTTTTAACTTTTTATGCATGTTGTCAAATTAAACAACTTAAATAATTTCCGTGCATTTGTTCTTTATCATTGACGTATTTCAAACATTATATATTGTGTGTATTGAGAGAGGGAGGGATGTAAAATTTGCCTAAATCAATAGAAGACATAAATTCATCCTACATACATTAAATGGGTGTTTGGTGGGAATTTTTTTAGTAAATTGTAATAGAAGTTTTTGAAATTTATGGTTGAAAAGTTGTGCGATCCATGAAAAATGTAATTAATATTAATTATTTGACTTTAATTTAAATTAAAATCAGACTTTTTTATTCAGTGCCAAACGAGCTCTAAATTATGTAGTTTGAATAGGTATCTAACAAAAGTGGAAACAAATTCCATTAGGTGGGAGAGTTCCTGGACTGTTGCAACAATATAGATATAATTCTTACAAATAGAGCAAGTTCCTCCTCAAACATAGTAAATTCATGTACTGTACTATTTTTCTTATACTCCTCAAACATTCTAATTTCAAACAAAATAAGCAGGTGAGTTTAGTAAAAGAATAGGAAAAGACATATGAACAGTAATACTCAAAATATTTTCTGCAACTTGACTAATTAAACTATGAAAGCCATGTCAAAGTCCTGAAATTCTTTCTACAGTTAACAGATGAATGAGAAAGAACAGGAAGTCCCCATTGGCAAGAGAAGATAATTGCAGGGCATACTTCATCCAGCTTCATTCGTTTAACAATATCAAAGTAAACCCTAGAAATCCTTTTTGGTATTAAAATCACAGAAAAAGCCTTCCAATTCAACTTTTTACACTTTGATAACCTGAAACCCTTAACTCTTCCATTTATTTTCTTCATCCAGTGCTTTTTAGGCCTTGCTGATTTCTCATCAGCACTAGTAAGCCTCTGGTATCTTGCTTTCTGTCGACCCGCAAACAGTTCCATCTGCAGCAAATTTAATGGAGTATATGTGCAATGAATCTGTAGGGAATACATATACTACACTGAGTTTATATGGAGAACGATAGGGTAAATAATATAGCTGGGGAGATAGCAAAGTAAGCACATGGAGAATATCTTTCGCAGTATTATTTTAGACATATACTATCATGGAAAGAGTTGAAACTTGCCATTTTTTCGATTCCTCCAGCACATGGCTAACATCATATTTTTTTAACCTAATACATTGTGTACCAGAGAGAGAGAGAGAGAGAGAGTATATACATTTACTTGCTTTTTAACTTGAAATAAAAATGCAGATGCACTTTTCTATATATCCTTTTAACCCTTTTAACATAAGGCTAAGTCAATTTTTGATCCTTATTTTTTAGAATTCATTTTTCAATCACACGTTTATGGAATTCACAATTTTCCAATCATATAGTTCATTAGCTTTTATCCACATTTACTAACAATCTGAATTTTAGCTAAGTTACCACACACCAATTCAGTGGTCTCCTGAACTTAAACCTTGTTTGGCACGGATATTTTAAAACTTATTTTTCTATAAATTCATTTTTAATGAGACCCTTTTTTTAATAAAATAATATTGTGCGTAAACCTATAATTTTCCCCTAATTTTTACATTCTATTCAATCTTTCACTTAACTGGTTAATTAGCTGACTATGACATTAATTGTTTCTGATTAAACATATAAGATAAAGGAATATTGAAGACACGTGAAATCATTGATGTTCAAATTAAAAATTCAAAGGCAATGATTTAGTGAAGAGAAACAAAGCGTTAGTGATGAATGGCAAGACAAAGATCTGCTTGTTTCATTGTATTTGACAGAGATTAGATTAGTCCAATTTGTCAATTATTAGAGTAGCTAAGGAATATTTAGTCCACATTGTCCTCTTTGTAGAAAACAGCCTTTTGTTCTAATTTAATTCAGGAAATCTTTACTATGCATAGTTAAGATCTACTAAATGTTTGTTTGTAAAATTATTTTAATGGCTCCATATTAATATACTTAATTTGAACTTTGTGGCCTAATTTGTTGAGGTTGTCCCACATCGATTCTGAAATGGGTTGGTGATCAATTTATAAATGTGAGAAAAAGTCTCACATCTTCTGCTATTTTTTGGGGTTGAGAAAGCTTAATACCACCTAACATTGGTATCAGAACCCAAGTTATCAACAAATTTCTAGCCCATGGGTTTGTATGAGGGGGACGAATTTGGTCTCACCTATGGCCCGTTGTGAGAGGGGAAGAAGGGATTTGGTCTCTCTTAGGACTCGATATGTGAGGGGGAGATTGTTGAGGTTATCACGCATCGGTTGTAAAAATGGCTGGTAGTCAGTTTATAAGTGCGAAGAAAAACCTAACCTCTTGAGCTAGCTTTTGGCCTTGAAAAAGTCCAATACCATTCAACATAATTAACCTTCTAAACCAACTTGTATATTCACTTAAGAACCCGATTTTTTTTTTTTTTTTTATTTCAATGAGTAATTGCACCTATGGAAAAGGGGTTGACGGGTACAATCAATAATCACCTGTCACAGAATTGCATATTGCTAAATAGTTTAATATAAATTAAACTTAATATTCATGCAATTATCAAATGTTAAATTGGCAATTTTAGATTGAATCATCTCGTCTAAATATTAAAAGAAAAGGAAACAAACTTTTATTTAATTACATTGTTTGTCAACATCCTTCACTAAGAAAAATATATAAAAAACTAAGCAGAAATAGTAGAACAGTATAAATTTACTTCCTTTATAGGGAAGTAGGTTGCCTATTAATTACTCGACTAAAAATGCAGCCACCAAGATTTAATTTTCTTATCAATCCCAGCTGGTATAATCTAGAATAGACACGTTTATAGGCACATTATTTAATGTGTCACTACTATAGAAAGAAGAAACAAGTCATCAAAACGCATTAATAAAATGACTGTTCCAACGAAAACATAAATAAATTGAGTTCAATATATTAATGTAGCCTTTTTTAAATAATGCATGCAAGCAACAAGGACCGGGCATGAGGACAAATATAGGAGCATTTGTGCTGCTCACATGAACAAAAACAATTAATTGAAAGGAATATAATGAACTGTTTTGCAGTTTTTGAAGATGAGTGACCAGTTTCCATCTGAAAATGGTCAAGATTTGGAATTGTAACCATGGTTATTGAACACTTGACCACTTAACAAATATTTTAATAGTAATCAAGAGTATTTTTTATTTTTGGCTGCTTATTATTGAATTTAGTATGTTTTTGTGTTTTAGAATGAAATAATCGAGCTTGAGATACATGGATGAAATTGGAAAAGAGAATGTGATGGTATCAATGTTCACTTAAAAAAACATAGCTTCACGCGAAATTTTTTGTTCCTGAAATCACGATATTCATTGCTATTACTCTTTATCAATGGAATATTAACAACCACAAATCCATTATTAATTTAATGGTCGCTAATGGTTACCAATGGATCGCACAATAGGTAAAGAGCAAACATTTTATCAACAAATTTTCCTTTGATAAAATGTGAACTTTTTACCAACGAAAATTTCGTTGGTAAAAATCTTAACAATTACCAACCGACTTTTCAATGATAAATGTTCACAACTACAATTGGTAAAATTTAACATTGTAAATAGCTGCATAAGTGTGAGGTGTGGCAAAAATAAATAAATAAATACACACACACA